GTTGGGCCGGCAATTTCGTATTAATCGTGGTTGGCTTTGCTGCGTTGCGTTGGCAGTGCTCATCGGGATGGGCGTGAACCCCTCTTCTACCCCAGCGCCTGGGAGATGGCGAACAGCCTCCTCCGCCTCCTCCTCGCGCACCGCCTCCTGCTGCTGCTGCGGCTGCTGCTGCTGCTCCTGCTCCTCCTCCTCATCCCTCTGTTCTTCTTTTTCTTCTTCTTTCTTCTTCCTCCTCTTCCTCCTCTTCCTCTTCTTCTTCCTCCTCTTCCTCCTCGTCCTCCTCTTCCTCCCTTTAGGAGCGGCACGCGGCTGCAGGGTGGGGGAAAGAGCGGGACCTCTCTTTCCCCCCCCCTGCAGCCGCGTGCCGCTCCTCTTCCTCCCTTTTCACTCCCTTCCTCCCTCTCTTCCTCGCTCTTCCCGTCGCTCTTTTCCTCATTCTTCTCTGCCCTTCCCCCCTCGCCTCCCCTCATCCCCCCTCTCCTACATTTTCCCGGGAGGACCCCGCGAGGGACCGGGACCTGAAGAACAGGTGGAAGCAGTTGTCTGCTCAGAGCCGGAACCTGGTGAAGGAGGCCCTCTCCTGGGAGGGCCATGGCGGTGCCGGGCAGTGGGCAGGGGGCGGGGGGCGGAGGAAATTGGGCGGGGTAAACTATGATGAGACCTTGGGGCGCCAATTCTCCCTTCTTCAGAGATGGACCTTGTGACAAGGTGGGAGAAGGTGAGGGGGAGGAGGCGAGCAGGAGGAACTATGCACTTCACGGCTGCATGGCTTAACCCCGTTCGTGTTTTCCCCGCTGTGGACTTACTCTGTCTCCAGCTCGAGGCGCTCGCGCTTGTGGTCTCCGGTGGTGATTGGTTCCCACAGGTTTATATCAACGAGCATTGCAAGCAGGCTGGGGAAATAGTGACTCAAGCATATCGAGTCGACCAAACCTGTGACACCAATTCTTGTCTCAGGGGCGACGTGGCGTGAAGATTTACCCTGGGAGGATTCGTAAGTTGCAATCTCGTGATCATGGCGTTCGTGCCTCGTGCCCTCCGATCTGAAGTGTTAAGTGCGAAGCGCATCTTGAAGAGTGGAGGTCTTCTTGTCGGGAGGTATTCAGCTCGTTTGCATGGGCTTTCATTCCGTCGGCTTGCTCAGCTGCGGACGGTCATCCCTGGCTCAGCATTCGGCGTTTCCAGAGTCAAGGTCCCTAGAGTTTTTGCTGTGTGCTGACCCGACCCAGGATCGTACCTTCCAGGCTAACCTGTTTCTTCTCCAGTCCTGGGTCCATGTCTGGCGTGAGCAATGGTTGCCGCGTGAGCAATGTTCGTGCTGTGCAAGGAAGCTCCTGCTTTTGATTGGAATCAAGTTTGGTGCCCAGAAGGTGCTGTGTTCTGCTACCCTCAGGATGCTCAACTGGGACCCGCATGATTTGAATTGCCGGAAGGACCCCCTGGGGTGTAGCTTTTGGCTTTGCTAGCCTCGAGGAAATGTCTCGTAAGTCTCTGGTCCAGGACGGGTCTGAGGCTTCGCTTCTCCGATGGTTCGAAGAGCTCATCTTTTACGGGATGGTTCTACGTGGACCACCTCGGCGGGGCCGTATTGATTACGCAATGCCGCACAGGGTCGGCGGATACAGAGCTCTTGACGGGTGCTGGCCGTCGGTTTTCCGACGCAGTGTGTTCTCCAAATGGATAGGCGCTCTATCAGCCTTCGCTGCAAGTTCTGCGGGAATGTGGGCACCCCCCAAGCATCGCATTGGAGGCTGTCCTGCTACATGGTGGGTGTACAGAGGCATCGACTTGCCACATGCCATCGAGGACTTCGAGCGTGTCTCCGCGCATGGACTTCTCCTTTTTGTTGGCGTGCGTATCCCCACGAAGGGGGCCTTCAGTGGCAATGCGGCGGTCGATAGTTTGTCTCTGCACCCGAGAGACTTCGCGGTGGACCATGCCGGCTGGGCCGTGGCCCAGGTGGGCCGCAACGGTGGCTTGATGTGGCCCTGCCTGGGCCCTTGCCGCATCTTGCTGGGCAGGCGGGCCGCGCGGACTTCTCCCCCCGCACGCTGGGGTTGAGCATGCCGCTGTGGCGTGCGGCTATCGGATGGCGATCGACGTGTGGGTCGGCGGCGAGCGAAGGGGGGGAAGCGAGGAGGAGGAGGCCTTCTCGGAAGGCGGCGGGGCTTCTCAGAAGACCTCTGTGCTTCAGAGAGGGTCCGGTAGTTTCTCAGAAGGGCTTCGCTTCCCAGGAGGCCCGGGGGCTTCGGAGCCTCCTGAGAAGGCCCGCCCCCTTCTCGCTTCCCCCCCTGGGCCTGCCGCCGAGTGGGAGCACGGGCCTAACCTTGTGGAGGACGATCAGTGGAGAGTAAGCATGTTGCCAAATACTTCCCAGATGTCTAAAACATGTGTTGAACATGTGTAAGGATGTAATACACATGTTTGAAACATGTTTAGAACTTTTTTCCGGCATTTTTAACACATTTTAAACTCAATGCTAGGACTGTTAGGGTGTCCATCGTCGTGGCATCCACAAGCCTAGCCATGACCCCACAACACTGCACGAGCGGTGGCGGCTGGTGTATTCCAGGGCCGCAGAGCCCAGCAGTGCGGCCGCCGTCGTGAGAGTCTCCGGGAGCCGCCAGGCCTGGGGCCGCAGCTGGCTCCCGGGGAGCGCCACGGTGGCCGTGGCGCGGCAGCCGTGGGGCAATTCGGGCCTGTCCCTCTACCGGGGGAATATTCAAAAATAGTCCAAAAATAGTCGGGGGACTTTTTTTGGAGTATTCTTTGACCATTTTGGAGCATTTTGGAAGTATTTTTTCCCAACCCTCCTGTGTTGGGTACTCGTTTTGAATGGAGCAGTGTGGTCGCCCCGTCCTCCTCCTCCTCCCCTCTCCTCCCCTCTTCCTCTCCTGTCTCCTGTGTTCCCCTCTCCTCTTCTCTCGTGCCGTCGAGCTGCGATCTGCGCAACCGTCGCCACTTTCGTGGGCTCATGGGAGGCCCATCGGAGGTACGTCCCACGCGGATCACCTCGAGACCTCGCGGCAACCTGGGGGGAGGGGGGGGGCTGCGATCTGCGCAACTGTCGCCACTTTCGCGGGCTCCTGGGAGGCCCACCGGAGGTACGTCCCACGCGGATCACCTCGAGACCTCGCGGCAACCTGGGGGGAGGGGGGGGGCTGCGATCTGCGCAACTGTCGCCACTTTCGCGGGCTCCTGGGAGGCCCACCGGAGGTACGTCCCACGCGGACCACCTCGAGACCTCGCGGCGCCCTGGGGGGTTGCGATCTGCGCAACTGTCGCCACTTTCGAGGGCTCCTGGGAGGCCCAGCGGAAGGACGTCCCACGCGGACTACCTCGAGACCTCGGGGCGCCCTGGGGGGGGTGCTGCGATCTGCGCAACTGTCGCCACTTTCGTGGGCTCCTGGGAGGCCCAGCGGAGGTACGTCCCACGCGGACCACCTCGAGACCTCGCGGCGCCCTGGGGGGTTGCGATCTGCGCAACTGTCGCCACTTTCGTGGGCTCCTGGGAGGCCCAGCAGAGGTACGTCTTACGCGTTGCCGCTGCTCTTCTTGCTGCGCTCTTCTGAGTTCACTGATGAGTGCTCTTCTTCCGCTCTGCGGGTTTTTCCGCATGCCCGTCAGCATTGAGTGGTCCCGAATGTAATGACCACATGTATAGAAAGGGTTGGGTACGTCGCAGGGTAAATAATTTTCGTCAAACATCCCCCTGTAGGGGGACACACCCGACTTAAGGCTACGGCTGGAGCCCGTTATTGAAGAAGAAACATCGAGGGTGGGCAGACCTCCTACCCTGACACGTCGATTCAGGAATTGGCCGTTTTCGGTTCGCGGGAGGGCGTCGCGGCCGTCATTTCTGCGGGTCCAGGTCCGTCGGTTTCGGACCCAGGCCGTGTTCACTAAGGGCAGGTTTACTAAAGGGAGGTTTGTCTACCGCCGGAAAAAAATGTCATCAACATAAACTTTTGGCGCTCCGCGCGGGTTTCTTGGATCCGCGCTGGGCCCTCTCCGGCGGCGCCTCCAGCGCCGCCCCTGGCGCGCGGAGCGCGCCAGGGAAGGGGGCCCAGTGCAGATCTAGAACATCCGCGCGGAGCGCCAACAGTTTGTGTTTATGCAGTTTTTTCCGCTCCTGCGCACGTTCTTGGAAGTGTATGACCGGAGATGTCCTTCACCACATGAGCGCCTGCTAGTTTTCACCCGCCTGTGCCCTAAGCGGCCGCCCCTTCGCGGGCATACAGGCTTGACCTTGACCTTGACCTTCCGCTTCTGCGTTGGCACCCCGTGTCGCACCAGCTTTTGCAGGAACGGAAGGCCCAGGACACCGCCATGCTCGTGGCCGGGCCTCCCAGCCCGGCGGGAGGCGGGGGAGCATGGGCCGAGCTGGCTTTCGGCGGTGTGGGCTGCTTCGGGGCCAAGCGGCTCAAGGTTCCCGTGCTTTCGGGGGCGGCAAAGAGGGGGGTGATGACTGGGGGGGGGGTGGATATCATGGCGGGGGCCACGATATCTCCCCAGGTTTCATGGCGCCTCTTCTTATTTCATTACGTTCCTGGCCCCCCCGCTGGGCCGCGCACGTGCCCCCCTCTTGGCCGCTCCCGATGCTTGTGGAGCTGGTCCCCCGTACCAATGGGCACGATCTCGTGTCAGTGGGCGAGGGGCTCGCTCGCGCCACCTGTGGAGTGCGTGATGGGCCGAGGGGTGTTAGTGTCACCCTTCGCTCCGCTCTGCGCTGCACTGCCCTGCCATGGCCCGCCGACGCCTGGCTAATCGAACGCATCGCCTTCGGTGCTGCTCAAGAGGTTGGATTTCACGCAGTCTCTGTGATGAACTCGGCACTAAGAAGGCGACCCTCCCGGCCAGGGAATGTCCCAGTGTCTCCACGACCAAGAATACGAGTAGATTTGCGATTGCTGAAAAGCGGCGTTGACCACTCCTGCAAAGTTTCGTTCGGGGACTCTTTCCCTCTGTATCGGGGTTGGCCCTCTTGAGTGCTGAACGGGTTCTATCACCTCCTTTGTTTGTGTGCCATCCGTCCCGCTGACGCGGGACATCGTGCGCCAAGGGCCCACGGACCTACGGAGGAGGAGGAGGCGGAGGAGGACCAGAGTAAACCGAATCATATGCACCCTCCCGTCCTGGGTCCCATCCTCATTACCCCGTTCCTGCAGGCCTACGTCCTCCTCTACAAGAGCGAACCCTGGAACGACAAGCAACCCATGGGCCTGCCATTCAGGCGAGAGCCTTGTCCTGACACAGACTTGCCTGGCAGCCTTGCAGCGCGTAGTCGGGAATACGAACATCAGCATCGTGTAACCGATCCCCATCCCCATCCAGACCCCCGCCGTCTCATCCCTCCAGTTGGGGACATACCCTTTGAAGTCTGACAGAAACTGCCTATATCCCCATCTTGGGGGGTAGACCGGCCAGTGGGGTCCAGGCCACGCGAGTGGGGATAGGGATCGGTGAAACGATGCTCAGAAAAGGTGTGATCAAGCAGATCATGGAGGTGCCAAGCCAGATCCTCGCTTTGAAAAAAAACGCCTCTTCCGTGTAAGTGTTGCAAGCTCTTGCGCTATTGGCGAGGAAGTCTGACGCGAGAGCCCTGTTCTGAAAAGGAACCGCCTCCCTAGAGTGCAGCTGCTGCACATGTTGAAGTTCTGGGCGTCGAGGACTTTTGAAGTCCCACGCGAAAGGCCCGTTTTGAACACGAGTGTGCGCGGCGCTGCGGCGAGAACTCATTTTCGAAACGGATCCGCCGTTCATTCTTGAAGCTACTGCGAACTTTTCCGACGAGCGTGCGCGGTGTTGAGGCAACAAACCCATTCTGAAAACCACCGGTGCTCCATCCTTGATGCTGCTGCAAGCTTTTGAGCCGAGTTATCGTGGCACTCAGGCGAGAGCACCATTTTGAACACCAGCTTTGGTCCATCCTTGTAAGTGTTGCAAGGTTTTTTGACTTATCTGCGTGGCGCAAAGTCGAGAGGCCCATTTTTGAAAAATACCTGTGCTCTATCCTTGGCACTGTTGCGAATTCCAAGCGTCAGAATCACAAATTGTGAGAAAGTCTCAGGCGAAACGTCTGGCCCGCCCCACCGACGCGTCTGGGTGTGCCACAGGGGGGAGTTATGTACAAGACAACTGCTTGGAGGGAGATGATTAAGGTGAGTTTTCATATCTTTGTTTTTTGAGAGGGCATCTGGAAGCCTCGTGGGATTTCTGGGGGCTGACAGATACTCCAGAGGCCTCTGGGGACTTCAGAGACTTCTGGTGAGGCATTTGGAGGTCTTTGGCGGAGTTTGGCCTTCTGGGGACTGTCTTCGCCATTTCTGGCGCCCGGAGGCCGTCTCCACTGCTGGGGCCGTCGGCGAAGCGACTTTGGATGAGGCACCCGTGCTGAGGAAGGGTCGAGGAGAAGGATGACGGATGGATGGATGGATGGATGGTTGGCATGATCAGGAGGGACAAAAACACACAGACACAATTAATCGTCGAACCCAGAAACCCAGAACATATAGGAAAAGCTGGGGAATCTTTTTTATCTGTGCGTATTTATTTGTGTGTCCCAGGGCCCCTTCACATGAGTCATGAAAGCCGGAGGGGGGTTGTGCTCTCCTCCCTCCAGCGTCGTGAGTTGTCGCAGCATGGACCCCAAGAGCTCTGGACCCCCTCGCCAGCACAAGTTTTTTTATCCCCCCGAGTTTTTTCTTTTTCTGTTTGGATGGCTCTGGGGGCCAGTCGGGGCCCGGGGGACCGAGAACTGTCGAGATCGTTGTGGTCGTGATTCTTGCGCGACGCACAGGGGTCCGTGGCCCGCATCCTCGAGTCGGGCCGTGTCAGTCTGCAGGAGGACTATTCAGAAGTAGTAAAGACTTACGCGGAGGATGAGTTGTCGACTATTTTTGGCTGTGTTTGAGCATTTTTTGGCCATTATTGCTTCAGCCCCATCCGGGCGAGGCAACGACGTCCGCGCTGATCACACCAGAGCTGGACGTCGGCAAGGCGTCGGCCCAGGTGCTGGCGAAGATAGGCGGCATAGAGATCCCACGGCGGCCGTACCGCCATCAGCCGCGGGGCCCCAGGAAGATGGGGAGGAGGGCGATCTCCTCCTTCCCCCTCCCTCTTCTATGGGTATTCTTGCGCCTTCTTATCACCCGCTGGGAACGACTGAGAGCGCCTGGAGGGGATCAATGATGTGATGATGCTGATGATGATGATGATGATGATGATGATGATGATGATGATGATGATGATGATGATGATGCTGATGCTGATGATGATGATGATGATGATGATGATGATGATGATGCTACTGATGCTGTTGCTGATGATGACGATGACGATGACGATGATCATGATGCTGCTGATGATGATGACGATGACGATGACGATGACGATACCGACGACGACAATGATTGTGATGATGATAATGATGATTATGGTGATGAAGATGATGATGATGATGAGGACGATCACTATGATTAGGATCATGATTATGCTGATGAATCTGAAGATGAACATGCTGGTGATGATGATGGTGGTGGTGGTGATGATAATGATGACGATGGCGATGGTGATGCTGAAATTGATGGTGATGATGATGGTGACGCTACCGCTGATGACGGTGATGCGTATGATGGTGGCGACGACGACGACCGCGATGATGATGGTGATGATGATGATGGTCATGATGATGATGCCGATACATATGATCATGCTGGTAGTGGTGGTGGTGGTAAAGTTGGTAATGACGAGGTCGAGGACGACGATGACGACGATGGCGATGGTTGATGGCGATGGCGATGGCGATGGCGATGACGATGACGGTGACTATGATAACGACGACGATGGCGACGATGACGATGACGATGATGATGATGATGATGGTCATGATGATGACGCTCTTTTTGATGGTGATGATGATGATGCGGATGACGATGCTGATGATGCTGATGATGATGGTGATGCTGATGACGGTGATGATGATGGTTGTGGTTCTGGTGGTGGTTGTGATGGTGGTGGTGATGATGATGATGATGAGGATGATGACGAAGATGATGATGATAACAATGACGATGACGATGACGATTACGATGGCGATGATGATGATGATGATGATGATGATGATGATGATGATGATGAAAACGATGATGATGATGATGCTGATGCTGATGCTGATGCTGATGCTGATGCTGCTGATGATGCTGATGCTGCTGCTGCTGATGATGATGATGACGCTGCTGATGCTGCTGCTGCTGATGATGATGATGGCGATGGTGTCGGTGGTGGTGGCGGTGGTGGTGGTGGGGATGATGCTGCTGCTGCTGCTGCTGCTGATGATGATGATGATGATGATGATGATGATGATGATTATGATGATGATGATGATGATGATGATGATGCTGATGATGATGATGATGATGATGATGATGATGATGATCATGATGATGATGATGATGATGATGATGGTGGTGGTGGTGGTGGTGGTTGTGATGATGATGAGGATGATGAGGACAAGAACGACGACGAGATGGATCGCAAGTCTTCAAGAAGACAGCGACAAGGGCGACTCTGCCGTGCATCCACCACAGAACCGAGCGAGATCCAACCCCGAGCCCACGCGGAAGACGCCGCCCCCGCGCAAGGCCCCCGATCTGCCCGCCGCCCACGGGAAGGGGCAAGGGACCCGAGCCCAGCCCCCGGGCCTCGGCCCGAGGGGAAGATGCCGGGGCCCAGTCAGACTGGCGCTGCCTCCCCCCCCGGCGAACTCAGCAGCAGGCAGGCGGCAGCGCTGCCAGCAACACGAGTCGTGAGAGGTGTAGGCAAGGCGCGAGCAGGCGGGGACGGTGCAGGACAGGAGCCAGAGACCAACCTCTCCGCCGCGACGTCGCTTGCGGGACCAACCAAAGCGCGCGCGCCAGAGGTCCAGCACAGTCGTCGCCCTGGAACCCAGGGGCTGCCTGCCCCCCGAAGCATGCCCAGGCACTGTTCCGACTCAGGGCTCCTTCGGTGACGCCGGCGTTGCTCGTGAAACCTGCCCCTCCTGCCCTGCCTTTCCGACAGGACTGCGGCCGGCGCCCAGGCGCGCGACGACGCCTCCAGCGTGCACTCCCAGGGCCGACGCCGTTGACGGAGTGGAGCCTTACGATACCGCACGCGGCCATGTTCGCCGACCGTTTCCGAGGGCGGCTGTCCCTCGCGGGCCACTTGCAGACGAGGCTGGTCGGCATTTTTCCCTGGCCAGGCTCGTCACGCGGAGCTCGAGGGCCAAGAGCTCGAGCTGCTGTCGCCTGTGGGCGGGTGTCTCGCCGGGAGTGCCGGCCAGGGGCGGCGCCGGAGGTGCCAGCCAGGTGGGCCCATGGCGGATCCGAGAAATCCGCGCGGGCCTCCGAGTTTTTATGTCTATGTCGCTCTCCGTTCCCCTGAGATCTGCCCTCCCGTCCATCTCAAATAAGAGGAGGAGGAGGAGGAGGAGGAGGAGGAGGAGGAGGAGGAGGAGGGAGGAGGAGGAGGCGGGAGGAGGAAGAAACATATGAGGAGGAGGAGGAGAGGAGGAGGAGGAGGAGGAGGAGGAGGAGGAGGAGGAGGAGGAGGAGGAGGAGGACGACAAGGTCGCTTTTGTCGTGATAGTTTCTGCAGCAGATCCTCCTCGCTGCCTCGGAGCGCCCCTTTGAAAAATGCGAGCGCTCCGTGGGCCTGCCTGCCGTGCACGCGGGAGCCGCCCTTTTTTGAGGAGGGTCTCCGCAGCCATCTTGGCCCGAGCCGCCATAGGTCAGCGATCTCCTCGCAGAAATTCCGCCCACTCTCTTGAGGACAAGGAGGAGGACAAGGAGGAGGACAAGGAGGAGGAGGGGGAGGAGGAGGAGGAGGAGGAGGAGGAGGAGGAGGAGGAGGAGGAGGGCAATCCGCCCCCTCTTTTTCGGCCGAGTCCACCGCCTCTTCCCCTCTCCTGCACGGTGGCACGATTCGCTCTAACAGTACCCCCGTCTAGGTCTTGCCGCTGGCGCAGACGACCCTTGCCTCGCCGCCGACGCAAAAAGTGCCTCTGCGAAGCCCTGTCTCCGAGCATAGGCGCGTGCGCTGGCGGTCTCGAGGAGGAGGTCGACGTGAATGCTACATCAGTGGTTGCACATCCTGTGGCAAGAGGTGACACTACGCGCCGGCATCGAGCGAGAAGGATGAAACCAGCTACGGAGCAGGCTGCAAAGATTCGTGCCACCAAAACTCATCTCACAGGAAGCCCAATGCTGAACGAGGACACGCTGCAGGCACACATCGACCGAGTTATTGCTCCTTTCGCTTCGCGGCTTGCGGAGATGGAGCTGCACCGATGTCGCTTATCAGAGGGCCTCCCTATCACCGAGAGCACTTTGCAGGCAGTCCTGGTCCTGAAGCGTGACAGAGCAGAGCGCGATGAAGCAAGGCTGCAGACGATTACATTCAAAGGACAACTGGACGAGTTAAGGAGACGTGTTGCAGCATGTCCACTGGAACAGGCTCAGTGGCTGCTTCCAGGCACCACTCCATTGTGTTCATCCTTGGAGGATTCTGTTGTTTCAAGCAGTATATCCAGTTCCAGGACCTCAGGGATGCTGCCAGAATCCTCGGAGGACAGTGGTGACGTTGGACAACAGGATGGGGTCCTTGACGAGGAAGGTGCTCACCCACAGAGGACGATTCTCTAGGGATCTCTGTGCCAGATCCCGCAAACAGTTACCTGGCCTGTAATATTTCATGTGGAGCGACGCGCAGTGCGTAAAGTATGTTTCCTGGGCGTGCGCGAGAGTTTTAGTGATAGCTAGGTATTCCTCTTTCATTTACCTTCAGGGTATCTGAGTGTAGAACTCATGCTTCCCAAATTATGTGTTCATTTCGTCTGTAGTCGTGCGTGCCCAGCTGTTTGTTTCATCTGTAATCACATGCCATCCCCAGAAGATCCCGGCATTTTTACATAACAGCGAAGACTGATAGGTTTCTAATGGTTTCAAAAGAAAGCATCATGACTCCCCAGGGGGGTCCGGGCAGGATCCGGGGAGAATCCGCGGAAGTCGTTTTAAGCAAACAGTTGCACACTTCGTGGTCTTCGTGGTCCCAGAACTCCATTCCCGGGCCACATTTTGAATGCCCGGAGCCAACTGTACGCCACTTCGTGCTCTTCGAGTTCCCAGAACTCCATTCCCGGGCCACATTTTGAATGCCCGGAGCCAACTGTAGGCCACTTCGTGCTCTTCGAGTTCCCAGAACTCCATTCCCGGGCCACATTTTGAATGCCCGGAGCCAACTGTAGGCCACTTCGTGGTCTTCGAGTTCCCAGAACTCCATTCCTGGGCATGATTTTGAATGCCCGGAGCCAACTGTAGGCCACTTCGTGGTCTTCGAGTTCCCAGAACTCCATTCCTGGGCATGATTTTGAATGCCCGGAGCCAACTGTAGGCCACTTCGTGTTCTTCGAGTTCCCAGAACTCCATTCCCGGGCCACATTTTGAATGCTGAGGCAGGCTGATGCTGAGGCTGAGGCAGGCTGAGGCTGAGGCAGGCTGAGGCTGAGGCCGAGGCTGAAGGCAGACTGAGGCTGAGGCTGAAGCAGGCTGAGGCTGAGGCTGAGGCAGGCTGAGGCTGAGGCTGAGGCAGGCTGATGCTGAGGCAGGCTGAGGCTGAGGCTGAGGCTGATGCAGGCTGAGGCTGAGGCAGGCTGAGGCTGAGGCCGAGGCTGAAGGCAGACTGAGGCTGAGGCTGCAGGCTGAGGCTGAGCAGGCTGAGGCTGAGGCTGAGGCAGGCTGAGGCTGAGGCAGGCTGAGGCTGAGGCTGAGGCAGGCTGAGGCTGAGGCTGTGACTGCGACTGCCGTTGCCACTGCGACTGTCATCGCGAATGCGACTGCGACTGCGAGAACAGCAGAATTCTACAACTGGATTCTCATCTGAATCTTAAGGGGAATGCTTCCAGATATGCTCCTACACATCGCTGTTAGGTTGCTTTGCCGGGATATTTTTTTCGGTTGGCGGCGAGGATGTGGAGTCCAGCTTCGACAAACAGTAACGTGTGATTCGAAGGTTCTGTTCCGCATTTCTGTCCAGTCGAGTTTTGTCACGGTGCGTGAACCGCAGGGGGCGACTATCCGGCAAAGTGGTCGTTGTTACCCGAGGTGTGCTGAATGATTACACCATTGTAACTTGTCCAATGCAGCTGTTCGTTGATGCTGCTTCGGCGTGGACTGCGTGATGCACATACGGACTCACTGGATTGGCGTCCAACGGGAAACAGCTGTTCAGCAACCTGATGTTGTGCACAATTTTTGATCATAGCCGTTGTGAACTTTTAGGGTGTAGGAGGAGGAAGAGGTGGAAGAGGATGTACACGAGGAGGAGGAGCTGGTGGAGAAACATACACAAGAGACAGATGACAAGGACGAGGCCCAGGAGGGAGGGAGGAAACAGGAGGTCTCCGAGGGTCATCGGAAGCTTTCGGAAGCTTACTGGTGGCCTCCTCGGGCGGCGCTGGTGGGCTTTCGGAGGCGCCCAGATTCATGCGGAGTTGATGATGAAAATGGTGAGAATGATGATGCTGATGCTGGTGCTGATGTTGAGGATGATGACGATGATGGTGATGGTGATGGTGATGGTGATGGTGATGGTGATGGTGATGGTGATGGTGATGGTGATGATGATGATGATGATGATGATGATGATGATGATGATGAAGATGATGGTGTTGATGCTGGTAATGATGATGATGGTGGTGATGATGATGTTGGTGGTTTTGGTGATGATGGCGATGACGATGATGATGTTGCTGATGGTGATTGTGGTCATGTTGATGATAGCGATGGCGATGATGATGACGATGACGGTGACGAAAATGATGATGAAGGCTATGGCGGTGATGATGATGGTGACGATGATGGATATGATAACGACGATGCAGATACCATTGATGACGACGATTATGACGACGGGGGTGGCAATGGTGATTGTGATGATGATGATGATGTTGATGATGATGATGATGATGAGGAGGATGATGAGGATGATGATGACCATGGTGGCGCTGCAGATTTTGACGACGCTGACGATTACGATGCTGCTGCTGATGACGATGGCGATGATGAGGATGATGATTATGACGGTGATGGCGATGGTGATGATGATGGTGATGGCGATGATGTTGATGATGATGCTGATGATGATGATGCTGCTGCTGATAATGATGATGATGCTAGGGGGTGATGCTGGTGATGTTGTTTTTGATGATTATGATGATGGTGCTGCTGATGATGATGATGATGATGATGATGATGATGATGATGATGATGATGATGATGATCATGATCATGCTGATGGTGATGGTGATGATGATGGTGACGATGAGGATGCTGATGATGCTGATGATGCTGATGATGATGCGGATGATGATGATCATAATGGGAAGGAGGGTTGGTCGATGTCTTCAGTTCCTCCCTCCTCCCTTTTCCGCTCTTCTCCCTTCATTCATTCATTCTTCCTCTCTCCCTCCTTCCTCCCTCCATTCCCGCTCCCCCCGCCTCTCCTCTCCTTCTTTTCTTCTCCCCCCCTTCCTCCCCCATTCCTTCCTTTCGCCCCCCTCTCTCTTTACTAGTACTGGCAAGCGCATCTCACTCTCGTTCCCCCTCCCTCCTCCCTCCCCCCTCGCCTCTCCCTCCCTTCAGCCTCCCCTTCCTCTTCCTCCTGCCTCCTCCTCTGGGATCTTCCTTCCTCCGCCTCCGCCCTCCAGCACCGTTTCCCTCCTTCGTCTATTCTCTCCGGCGTCCTTCCTCCTCTTCCCTTCTCTTTGTCGTCGTCGCCCTCCTCCTCCTCCTCCTCCTCCTCCTCCTCCTCCTCCTCCTCCTCCTCCCCCTTTTCGTGCTCGGGGGACCCGACTCCGCGTCCTCGCTGGCACCCGCCCCTGGGGGCATGCGGATCCCTGTGAACGAGTGGGATGGCCTGGTCCCGCTCCTGCTGACGCACGTCACCAACCAGGACCCCCGAGCCCGCCAGATAGCGCTCATCACCCTGGGCTACCTCTGCGAGGACCGGCGGCCTCTCGGGCGCCTCTCCTCCAGGCCGCCCCAAGCGAGGCGCCCAACTCCCCTCCACATACTCCTGTTCCTCCTCCTCCTCCGCCTGCTCCTCCTCCTGCTCTTCCTCCTCCTCCTGCTCTTCCTCCTCCTCCTCCTCCTCCTCCTGCTCTTCCTCCTCCTCCTCCTGCTTTTCCTCCTCCTCATCCTCCTTCTCCAGTCCGCCCTTCTCCAGGCTGGGGTGGGTCGGGTCAGGGGCCAGGCGTCGCAGATGCATCGGCGAGGCGGTGCGATCCTGTGACCCCGTCCACTGGCTCTGCTGTCGGGGGCGGCCAAGACGGGGGTGATGACTATGGGGCGGTGGATATCATGGCGGGGGCCATGATATCTCCCCAGATGTCATGGCCCCTTTTCTTACTTCAATGCGTTCCCTGGCCCCTCCTGGTCCGCGCACGTGCCTCGGCCCATGATCTGCACCCCCCCCTCTTGGACACCCCCCTCGTGGACGGCCCCGACGCTGGGGCGGCCTGCGCTGTCCAGCTTTGCGGCCATGTCGGTCAGGGCACCCGTGCCGTGCGTGGGTGGGACATCTCCGGGCCTCGCCGAGGCTTCTCTTTTCTGCCGGCGGCGTCCCTGGCCGTGCTCGCGGCACGGCCAGCTCTTGCGACCCGGAGGCACGGCGGATTCGAGCGCCGCCAGGTGGGCATGCCGTGAGGGCCAGGGCGGACAGCCAGCATACATGGTATCCAGTCTTGCTGCCGCGCGGGTGTGCTACCGCGTTGGTGGGGGCGCCTGGGGGAGGGGCTGGCCTGGGGGTGAGAGAGCGGGCTGGGCGGTGGCTGTCCATGGAACGTCTCACCTGGGATTCGGATTTTGTCCTTGTCGTTTGCGTGGGAGGCCAATCACGTAGGGACTTGGTCAACAAAGCAACGCATGTTGGACTTGATGCGTCGGGGCCCTGTTTATTGCTACGCTTGAATGGGAAGTAACGAAGCAAGCAGGGGTCGATGAGGACCGACCATTGAAGGCGCAGTGGTGGACATAGCGTCATGGCATCCGGAGCAGAGCATGCATAGAGGCGGCGGACATAGCGTGCAGGAGTGCCAGCGCAGACCTCGGGGGGATCAATGGAGTAGGTGGAGAAGTAGGAGGAGGAGGAGGAGGAGGAGGAGGAGGAGGACCCGCCTTGATTCTCATTTGGGCTTAACAGTCTCGGCCGTGGCGAGAAGCCTACACGCAAGCGCGGGTGCGAGCGATCGCCTGGGCAACCTTTCCCGACGAGGTGATGGGGGCGCGCGAAACGTGAAAGGTGCGGAAACCGGATCTGGCCGCGAAGGACCCCGAGCATGTTGAAGAGCCCCCGTAAGAGTCTGAGTCCGACCGTGGAGGACACCAAAAAGAACAGACGACAAACAAAAAAGGGCCGACGACAAAACAACAAGGTTCGATGACAAACAAACATCCGATGACAAAGAAAAGGAGGCCGACGACACATTCAAACGAAAATGCAACAGCCAACGACAACAACAAAGGCGGCGGACGACAGAATCCGCCAGCGGCGCAGGGCCGCGACAAAATCCGAAGCGGCGACGACAACATGCTGTTGGAACATGTGCAGCACACATTGCGGAGGCGCCGCTCGCATGGAAAATGCATAGGGGCTGCCGACCACTGGGCAAATTCGTCGGCCGGTTTGGTCGGGCCATTTGTCGCCGCGCGTTCGGCGCGCCCGGAAGGCTCGCGCACGCACGGGGCTTCCCCGCGCGCGCGCTGGTGTCTTCGCGTGCGCGCATTGGTGTCTTCGCGTGCGCGCATGGCGCGCGGCGGGATTGGAGCGCGCTGGAGATGCGTGCGCGCCGATGGCAGCGCGCGCCTCCGCTGCGGGCGCAGCGCGAGGCGCGCGTGCACACATCGGGCAGGCGCGCGCGTGCGCGTCATCCCCTCCGCGCGCGCAGCAAAGAAGTGACTCGCCCAGAACAGTGCATAGTCCGTCCGCGTTGCACACGGCGCGAGAGCAGAGTCAACGCGAGAGCCATGATTCGGGCCGGGTGGTGGGGTCAGAGTTAAATTCGCATATCGCTCAATGCATGCCGGCACGCTTCAGTTGAGAATGTTCGGAAATCAATCCACAATGTTTTTGGTCAAACGATTTGTCAGTGGGTTCTTTCCTAGAAGCGTGGTACCGCGGCGCTGTGGCGGCGCCCCGTCGTACTGGCCAGATCGTGGGACGACGGGCGTCAGAAGGCGAACACCCGCCTCATCTCCCAGTCCCGACTCCCGCCCCCGAGCCGGCGATCCAGGGGGTCGGGATTGGGGGGTGCAAGTGGCCGCTTGGTTTTTTCTCCTTTGTCCTTCGTCCCCCCCTCCTCTGCCTTGCTGGTTCGCCCGCCTGGTCCCCAGACCATGCGTAATGCGAGAATGGCCTCGGTGCACAGGAGTTGCCGCCGTCCCTGGCTGGTCCTCACCACGTTGTGGTAGCAACCATGAGACACCGTGATGTGTCTTTCAATGCGAAGTGGCGTTTTAGAAAGCATGGGGATACATCAAGACAAACATTGCCATCGACAAGAAAACGAGCAAGAGGATAGATAGTCCCTAACAGACCAGCGCCCCCCTTTTGCGCCGCCCCGTCGCAAGGAGCTGGTGGCGATCAGCGAGATTGACGGCATCAAAATTAGCGACGACATATCGAATCACGTCCTCACGGCCGTGGTGCAGGGTGCCGGCTACTACTCTCCCTCGCTCCCCCCCCCGGTCTCATCCCCCATCCCCTCCCTTTCGCCCCTCCCCCGTCCCCTCCGTTTTTTCCCTCCCCCTTTTCGCCCCGCCGACCCCTCCACCTCCACCGCCTACCGCCGCCTCCACGAGCTTGAGCTTCAGTCGGGCCCAAGACTTGGCCGTGTGAAGACACGGGTTCTTCATTCACACGTGCAGTGTGGTTTCGTCGCGTTGTCTGGGATAAGGGGGGCTGCAATGCCCCCAGCTTGTAGGCTGTGCACATCTTGCCCCGGCCTGCAGGCCTGCCACCGCCGCGGCGGTGGGCGGTCGGGGGTGCCGTGGGGCCTCGTCCTTGTCCGTGTGCGCATTGGCGCGGAGGGACGTCCCAGCGTCGGTGAGACGCGTGCAGACTGGGGTCACGCTTCCAGCGGCTGATGTGCTCCCTCCTCCCTCCTCCCTCCTCTCTCCTCCCTCTGCCCGCCTCCCTCATCCCTCGTTTTTCCTCGTCCTTCACCGTCCGTCCCTCTTCACTTCTCGCTCGTTCCCCCTCCCTGCGCTGAAAGGGCGCTCGGGAGCCAGACCGCCTGGTGGACGTACAGAAATTACAAGAGGTCCTCCCTCCTCCCCCGTTCCTCTTTCTTCGTCCGTTCCTTCGCACGCTGTCCATCGGCCCCAGGGCTTCGTCCCCATTTCCGCTTCTCTTTCGTAGCCCTGGGCAGGTATGAGGGACGGCGACGCCCAGACCAAGCTGGAGGCCACGCGGGCCTTCTACCACGCGGTGGTGCTGGCGCAGACCAACTTCCGCAAGCCCAACGAGCGGGACTTTATCATGGAGGCGGGCCGTCTCGTGTCTGCTAAGTGTTTCGCCACTGTCTCGTTGCTTTTCCTTGCCTTTCCTCCCTCCTCTTCCTCCTCCTCCCCTCCTCCACCTCCCTCCTTCTCTTCCTCCTCCCTCCCCCTCCTCCACCTCCTTCTTTGTGGTTGCCCGCGGTGGCTCGATTCCCTGGCCGAGAGCTCGTTTTGTATCGCGGCTGGCAGCTGATCGCATTTTCTGTGTCGGCGGGCACCTTGTCCACAAGTGTGTTCCCCACGTGTCCATGTGGTGCGGTGTGCGGTCCTTATGGTGTTGGGCGGCACGCAACACTAAATTCGTCACCAAGCTGCAGCGGGCCGAGCATCGGCTTATAGCCATTTCTTAGCTTGGCCATGAACATATTTTGAATCTTGGCTGAGCTTGCCAGGTGGCGTCGCGCGCGCGCGTGTGTGTGTGTGTGTGTGTGTGTGTGTGTGTGTGTTTGTGTGAGTTTGCGTGTGTATGCTGTGTGTCTGTGTGCGTGTGGTGTGTGAGTGTGTGTGGTGTGTGTGTGTGGTGTGTGTGTGTGTGCGTGGTGTGTGTGTGTGTGTGTGTGTGTGCGTGGTCCTCTCCAGCAGCTGTGTGGCTGCGGCCGTCACCGCGTTCCGACCGAGGAGTGCACTGGCCAGAGCGCGCGGCCTGCGCCGATCGAGACCCGGGACGGCCGCCGCTCCTGCGGACCCTCCCCGGCCCCCTCCTCGTGCTGGGCTGGACCGGCGAGGCCTCGACTGGTGCCGTTCGGGAGCCTCGAGACGCAGGCAGAGCCTCTGCCAGTGATCCAGAGAACTCGTCCGCGCTTGCGGCTGACGGTGTGATCTGCCCTCGTCTGCAGGCGCTTGTGTGCAGCAGGGGTCGATGCAAACGGGGGTCGGCCAGAGCGGATCTTGTAGGATCCTGCAGAGCCAGGGGTGCACTGACCCGGGCTTGCGCGCGCAGGATCTTGTAGGATCCTGCAGGATGTTGCGGGATTCTGCGAAGCCTGACTGACCCTTGTTTGCATTGATCGGCGGGGAGCGAGGGGGGGAAGTGAGAAGGAGAAGGCCTTCTCAGAAGGCGGCGGGTCTTCTCAGAAGCCCTCACGCCTTCTGAGAGGTTCTTTATGCCCTCGGGGAAGGCCTGGGACAACTCCTCACAAGTCCGGGGGACTTCCGAGCCTTCGGAGAGGGCCCGCCCCTTCTCGCTTCCCCCCCCCAGGGCGCGCCGCCTAATTGACCTGGGCCGGTGCGTCCCCGAGCCGTCGGGCTTTCTCCTCGTGCTCGCTGCGCTGTCGCCACCTCGAAGCGCGCCCCCCTTTCGCGCCCGATGCGAGGGCGTCCGAGGACTGCAGCCCACACACAGATGTACGCGGTCGGAGTCCGGCGCCGAGTCCAGGCATCGGCACGCACCTCTGAACATCTTTGTTCATGTACAGTGGAGGCCCGTGCCAAGAAGCACCCTGCTTGCCTCGGGCCCACCAGCGCCCCGCCGCCTGTGAGGAGGGGGAGCAAAGAGGGGGAGGGGGAGGGAGGAGGGGAGGTGGGTGGTGAGGAGGGGGGAGGAAGAAGGTGGAGTGAGGGAGAGAAGGCGAGGGGGAGGGCCGAGGAGCAGGAGGCGGGGGGAGGAGGATGAGGGGGAGGTGAGGGGGAGGAGGAGGAGGGAGAGGAGGAAGGGGGGGGAAGGGGGGGGAGGGGGACTGGCGCTTGTGGAAGGTTTCTTGTGGACTGGCCTCCACTGTAATGTAGTGCTCGTAGTCGAGTCGTGCCAGGAATGAGTATTGGGAAGGCCTTACGGCCAGTCTCGCCGACCTTGAAGGGGGACAGCGACCACGACGGCGTCGTCGGCGGCGCCGACGACGCTGACGTGGGGCGGACTCCTCAGGGATGCTTCGTGGGACCTCTTCGGAGCGCGCTCGTAGGTCCCCGGGGGGCGGTTTTGGCCTCTTGGGAGCAGCCTCTTAGGGGTCCCTTCGGGCTTCCAGGGGTCCTCTTGGGGGCCTCTTGGGGCCTCTTGGGGGCCTCTTGGGGGCCTCTTGGGGCCTCCTGGGAGCTTCTCGAGGCCGAGGGCTCGAACTGTTCGTTCGGGCTCCCATGTGGGCTCCCTCTCGGAGCCTTTTTGGGGGCCTCTTGGGACGTCTGGGAGGCCTCTAAGGCTGCCTTGGGGTCGTCTTGGGTCGTTTTCGGGCCGTCATGGAAACCTCTTGAAGGCCTCTTGTACCGATCTTTGTGGCATCTTGGGCCGTCTTTGGGCGTCGGGAAGCCGAAACGGCTAGATCGCCAGACTCTTTCAAAGCGTGCCAGGCATGGGTATTCCTCCAATTTGGGCTCCACCGATGGCGACGGCAAGCGATCGTCTTTGTCACGTATCAGCTGAGCTGTCCATGCTGCTGCCGCTTTCCTGGTACCATGTGTGTCGATGAGCCTGGCTATTGTCGGTCTTGTTCTCTCCTCCTCCACATCAATTAGCTAGTCGTATTGAGCCCACGAGACCGGGAGGAGGAGGAGGAGGAGGAGGAGGAGGAGGAGGAGGAGGAGGAGGAGGAGGAGGAGGAGGAGGAGGAGGAGGAGGAGGAGGAGGAGGAGGAGGAGGAGGAGGAGGAGGTGGAGGAGGCGGCGGAGCAGGAGGCGGAGGATGAGCGGGAGGAGAAAGCACCAGCAGCAGGAGGAGGAGCAGGAGGAGGAGGAGGAGAAGGAGGAGGAGGAGGAGGAGAAGGAGGAGGAGGAGGAGGAGAGAGGACGGACAGGCCGCCAGATGTTCTGTTAGGTTTTTCGCCGCGTTGACGCGGTCTTGACCCTGGCGCAGGCCTTCAAAGTCGAACGCCGCCAGAGGGCCCAGGAATGGGCCGATGTCGAGCGATCTTTGCTTTCGGAAAGCCGCGATCGTTCAAGACTTGGTCGACACGTGTGGTGTCAGAAATCCAGCGTCCGCGTTACAGCTGGCACGAGGGCCAAGAACAGCCCAGGTTTCGGAGGCTGTCCTGATGTTCTTCGCCGTGGGGCGGCCCTTCTTGGGAGGTGCCTCATTCTTCGTATGTCCACGAGCCCTCTTGGCCTCAGGCGAAGGGGCTCGTGTTCTTAGTCGACGTTCTTGTGGCCATGATTTTGGCGTCACTCCAGGACACCTGTGCGGTTGCGGTGTGTTTGTCGAACCCCCCAGGGGCGACGCGCGCGCGCCCAGAATTCTTTTGGTATGGGCTCCGTGGCGGGCGCTCTCTGGCCATCCCGCTCGTGAACCGATATGCTACAATACGGTTATTCTGTGTGCTCGGGTCGGACGTGTGCCTCCGAGGAGGACACATCGTGCTGGCATGGCCCTGCGCGTCCCGTGTCTCGACTGCACCACGGCATGAGCCAGCCGCAACTGCGCAGGTGCCTGCCTTTGACGCTAGCCCCAGCGGTCGCCCCCGAGGATGGCAACAGAGACAAAAACACGCGCGCGCGGTCTGGCCGCGCCCGGCGCTTGGGCGGAGGCCAGGAGGAGGAGGAACTGAGGAGGAGGAGGAGGAGGAGGAGGAGGAGGAGGGTGAGGAGGAGGAGGAGGAGGAACTGAAGGAGGGGAAGGAGGAACTGAGGAGGAGGAGGTGGAGGAGGAGGAGGAAGAGGAGGAGGAGGGGGAGGAGGAGCTGAAGGTGGAGAGGATGCAATAGAGGAGGACGAGGGGGAGGAGGAGGAGAAGGAGGAGGAGGAGGAGGAGGGAGGAGGAGGGAGGAGGAGGAGGAGGAGGAGGAGGAGGAGATGAGGAGGAGGAGGAGGAGGAGGAGGAGGAGGAGAGGGAACTGAAGGAGGAGGAGGAGGAGGAGGAGAGGAGGAGAGAGAGGAGGAGGAGGAGGAGAAGGAGGGAAAGAGGCAATGGAGGAGGACGAGGGGGAGGAGGAGGAGAAGGAGGAGGAGGACGAGGAGGAGAAGGAGATGGGGGAGGAGGAGGAGAGGAGGAGGAGGAGGAGGAGGAGGAGGAGGAGGAAAAGGATGAAAAGGATTGGATGGTTCGGTAGCCGCTTTCGAGAGAACCTTCCCTGGCAAGCTGCGCGGGCGGGCCAACCTTTCGGGGTGCAGTCGCCAAAGCCCGCCCAACGCGAGCGCGGAGGAGGAGGAGAATCTGAAGGAGGAGGAGGCGGGGGAGGAGGAAAAGGAGGAGGAGGAGGAGGAAATGGAGAAGCAGGAGGAGGAGGAGGACCTGAATGATGATGATGCTGATGATGATGGTGGTGATGGTGATGATGATGGTGATGATGATGATGAGATGATGGTGATGATGCTGATGATGATGATGATGGTGATTATGCTGCTGCTGATGATGATGCTGCTGCTGCTGCTGCTGATGATGATGATGATGATGATGATGATGATGATGATGATGATGATGATGATGATGATGATGATGCTGAGGATGATGATGATGATGATGAGGAGGAGGCAATTCATGAGAAGGAGAAGGAGAAGGGGGAGGAGGAGGAGGAGGAGGAGGAGGAGGAGGAGGAGGAGGAGGAGAAGGAGGAGGACAGAGGGGCCGGGCGTGGCGGTGGGCGCCGCCCGACAGGTCGTGATCGATGCCTGTAAGTTCAAGGCCGCGGAGCCCGTGCAGATCGCGGCCTTCGAGTGCCTGGTGCAGATAGGCGCGCGAGCGCGTGCGCGGAATCGTTGCACGCCTACCTCCGATCTGGCATTCGCATAGCTTTTCGCGTCTCGTAACGCGAGAGAAGGATCCAGAGTCTCTCCCTCAGAGGGGGTCTCGGCGGCCGAGTGCGCGGTCCTTGCGCGGTACAGTTTTGTGTGTTCATTGTGTGGGACGCCTCTTGACTCTTGGGCTGCCACTGCAATCTTTGTACAGCATCCCTTCAAATATTCTCTTAGTATTAAAGTTCGTCATACGGGTCAATCAACAACAACTTGCTCAACAACATATTCCGCCCACAATCTTTTCAGACTCGGGAGCTTCTTTGTACCTTCTCAGGTACCTCTCACAAGCCTTCTTAGGACCTTCTCGGGAGCTTATCGGGATCCCCTCGCATCCTATCATGTTCCTGTCAGGATTCCCTCTCAGGATCTTGCCGATATCGTCTCAAAGGCCTCATCAAAAGCCCCTCATTAGGTTGTCATGAGCATCCCATGATTCTCCCAGGACCCGCTCAGCACCCTCCCAGGCCCCTCTGAGGACCCCCTTCCAGGACCCAGTCAGGACCCTCGCGGGACCATTTCAGGACCCTCTCAGGATTTTTTCAAAAGCCTCTCAGGAGCTTCTCGGGAGCCTTTCAGGACCCTCCCAATAGCCTCCCAAGAGCCTCTCATGGCCCTCTGAAAAACCTCGCAGGGCCCTCTCGGGAGCCTTTCCGGACCCTCACGGGAGCCTATCAAGACCCCCCCAGGACCCTATCAGGATTCTTTCAGGAGCATTTCGTCATCTTGCTATCAGGGTTCTTTTCTGGGATCCTTCACTTTTTTAAATTTCCGAACCCTCACTTCAGAATTGTACCGTTGTTAATCCCTCCTCGCTGGTGCCCACTAGATGTTTCTCAACTGTAGTTCGTTTCCCGACGCTCCCCCTGTTTTGTCAAGGACAAGCTTCCCTCGATAACCTGGCTCTCTCCTGAGACCTCCTCGCAGGTTGCTCAGGAACTGCGGTCTAGCCGCCCAGAAGCCATGCTCCCGCCCCGTGGCAGTGTATTCACGTGTCGCACGCCCCCTCCCGAGATTTCGAGGCGATGTGACCAGGCGTTGCGCTCTCGCATGGGCACTTTTGACAGCATGCTTAGGGATCCCGCTTCCACCGCTCAGGAAATCGTGCTCTCGCCTGGGCCCCCCTCGCCACACGCTCGCTCCCACATGCCCCGCCCGCTCGACCCAGCTGTTACCACCCCCCTCGAAATCAAACGCAAGTTTTTTGGCATGGTGGTCGCCGCGCGAAACGCGGCCCACGGTGTCCGATGTTTGTGTTTGCAGTCGCCAATTTCGGCGCGAACATGGAGATGTTGAGGTCCTGGGGAGCCGCCACGTCGCGGGAAGAACTTGCGTGTGATTTCGAGGGGGGATGCAGGGTCCGCCCGCCAGACCCGTCCGTTTGGGTCCGCCCCCTGACCCGCCTGTTCCTGTCCGCTCGTTCGTTTGTCTGGAAGCCCGCCCGCCCGGCCCAGTTGTTAGGATCCGCTCAACCGACGCCCCAGCTCGGCTTCGGACGCCCGACTTGCCCGAATTGCCTGTGTCATACGTTGTCGGGGGGTTACAGTCGGGGCTCTGAAGAAGGAACCCTTTTCGTTGGGGAGGGGCTCGGTGTTCCTTGATTGTTGTGCAATTCGCCTCAGGTTTCCCTAAGGTTTTCCATGGGAAATCGGAATCGAACTTTTGGGAAAAAGGGACCTCGTTCCTTATTTAGGGTTCCTTGGGGCAACAACGCCCCGACTGCATCCAGGAAGCAGGAAGTGGTGCGACGAACGATTTTCCAACACGGGTGCGGCCACAGACTCTGAGGGCAGGTGCGGAGAAGCAAAAACATGCTTTCACAGTTTGCCCGCTGGCCTGCTTACATTCTCGGGATCATGCTGTTGTTGTGCTCCCTTTTCTTATACGATCACTGGTCGTTTCTCGTCCCTAGCATGCCCAGGTGCTTCTAGTATCCAAGTGTGCCCCACCCGACGCTCGAACGTCTCCTTGTTTGGCTGTTGATGTCTGGTCATGGGTAGCCTTGAAGTTCAAACCGTGTAGTATCCAAGTGTGCCCCACCCGACGCTCGAACTTCTCCTTGTTTGGCTGCTGATGTCTGGTCATGGGTAGCCTTGAAGTTCAAACCGTGTTGTTGGGCCTCCGGCTGCGTACAACAACTGCTCCCGCTTGTGTTTTCCTCGCAATGTATCCAGGAATCGCGCTCTCGTTGTAGACTTCCCTACGGCGTTCAAGGATCGCGCTGTTGCCCAATATTCCCTTTTGATTTTCTCAAGAGTCGCGCTCTCGCCGCTGAGGAATGGTGCTCTCATTTGTAACTGCTTGGAATTTCCTCAGACATCGCGCTCTCGCCTGAGACTTCTTTTCATTCTAGCCAGGAACTGCAATCTCGCCACTCAGGAAAAGTGTTCTCGCTTGAGACTGCCTTATAATTCACTCAGGGATTGCGCTCCCTCCTGCAGCCATTCTCTTGTTTCGCTAAATTTCCTCGTTGCACTGATCGACGCGAGCAGAGTATTCTGCCCGCGTCAATGTAATTTGATCATTTCATTCTGACTGGTATGGCTGACTGGTTTATGCAAGAGACAGTGGCAGCGTGGTTCCAGAAGCATTTCCAATGGAACCCTCATACCATGCCCGGGGATCAAAACAAGAATTGGCGCAGCTTTGGCACGGGCATCAAAACACGCCAAGAGCACATCACCAATACGACGCGCGCACCCTGTGCAGGGCTTTATCATCGCGCCAGTGGGCGCTGACAGAAAAAGGCGGCGATCACCTCCGCTACTGTGCGCAAGAACCCTGCACGAGAAGCATTGTTGTTCCGCCACCTCAAAAATAGGGTAGACTTTGTGAACTGGCCCTGGCTACGATAATGGTTTGTAACAGCGAGCCATATGCGCAGCGGCCTGGATTTCTGTGCAAGGCGCATGTTGAGACTAAGCTTGTGCCCCTGTCCGAGCCGCCAGGGGTTCAACTTCTGCAGGAAATCAATGAGGACCTTGGGGGAGTCACGTGTTGGGGATGTTGAGGCCTTGGCCTGATGGCCTCAACATGGCCCCACCATGGCCTCAACGTGCGCCAGGAAGCAGCAATGACCATGCGGGAATCACCTCTGGGGGATGCTGAGGCCCTCGCCGCAAGTGCCTCGTCGTTGCCTCGACGTGGGCAAGGTATCCTCGTGGACCATGCGGGGCCCATGTCTGCAAGATGCCCGAGGATGACGCGGTAACGGCGCCCGTGGGATGTTGATGATCTCGGGGCGAGGGCCCCGACGTGGCCCCAGGGAGGCGTCAGCGTGGGCCACAGAACGTCGATGTCTTCGCGGCAGTCGAGCCTGGCGGATGTCGAGGCTCTCGCTGCGACGGTCTCGGCGCGGCCTGAACGTGGGCTGGGCTGCTTCGAGGCTTCGCGGACATCGCGCCTTGGCCCAGGGATGTCGATGCTCTTGCACCAACGACCCCAGGAGATCTCGACCCCGTCCCCAGGACCAGCTCGTCTTCCCCGAAGAAGAGAGAACGGCAGCAACATACTCTTTTGGCGCTCCGCGCGGATCTCTTGGATCCGCGCTGGGACCTCCAGCGGCGCCTCCCGCGTCGCCCCTGGCGCGCCCCGCTCGCCAGGGAGGGGGTCCAGCGCGGATCCAAGAAATCCGCGCAGAAGGGCGGAAGTTTATGTTTACGCCGTCAGTTCTTCTTCTACACAAGACCCCAGGAGATCTCGACCCCGTCCCCAGGACCAGCTTGTCATCCTGAGCTGGTTTTTGATGGCCCTGGGGCCCGGGGCCCCTGGCGGCCGTCTCGGAAGGTTTAGGAGGGTTGGTTTCTAAGCCACCCCCGAGGACAAAAACGAACTTCTCAGAAGGCGCGAGGCCTTCTGAAGAGTCCCGCCGTCTGCTGAGAAGGCCTTCTACAGTGGGGCGCCATGCCAAGAAACACCCTGCTTGCCTCCAGGGTGCCCCGGGTTTCTTGGGTTTCGATGGTTTTGCCATGGAAAGCGTGACGTGCCCACACCAAAAACCCATGGACGTCCTGGGGTCTCAGGGTTGGGTTTCTTGTGGAAGGTTTCTTGTGGACTGGCCTCCACTGTGCTCCTCATTCCCCCCCTCGCTCGCCGCCGACAGAGAGGTCCAGGCCCGAGAAGAGCCGGTCTCCGGGAGGGGGGTCGACAGCTCAGAGGCCCGCGCAGGAAAGATTACGGCGTCGGAGGTCTGGGGCGGGTTTTGCATGCCGCCTCTTGCATCCCGGCCCAACGCCTCGTCTTTCTTTCTTCCGTCGGAATGCCCCCGCCAGCGACGGAGTATTACGACTTCCTGCTGCCGTACATGAACAGCCTCGGGCCGCTCACGTGGGAGACCATCAAGACCGCGCCGGAGAAGGTTGGCGTCAAGAGAACCAGCCCGGGTCGTAACAGCATGGCAGGTTTCTGGCGGTGTTTGTCCTGGGTTCTGATCCCGCGCCATTCTTGCTGGCGAACACTCTCCGCAGCCGCCCCCGACGTCGGCATCACCCAGCCATACTTATAATACCACAGTGGAACCACCCGTGCCAAGGGGCACCCCGCTCGCCTCCGGGGTGCCCTGGGTTTCCTGGCCTTCGATTGTTTTCTGCTGTTGGAAGGCGCGGCGCTCCCACGCCAAAAATCAATGAGCAATCTGGGGGCTCAGGGCGCCTCGTGGTAGACCCGCGGCCGCCGATCGCGCGAAGCCCCCTCGGCGGCGCGCGGCGGCACAGGCGGCCCCCTGGTGGTGCCAGCACCCGCGGTGCCACCAGCAGCGCCAGAGGCCGCGGGGGAGGCTTCGGCTGCCAGCGCGAGCGGGCTCGACGAGAGCGCCGGAGGGCCGAAGTGCCTCTCGGGGGGGTGTCCTGCGGAAGGCTCCCTGAGGTCGGGCACCCTGCGGTCTGTGTGCGTCGGCCCCTCCAGGGGGCGCTGCGCGCGCTCTCGGGGCCTCTTCCGGTCTTGTGCTCCGCGGCGGGTGCTCTCCGGGGCTGCAGCAGTCGACTCGCATGGCAGGGAGGAGCGACTTTCCCCAGGGGGTGTGAGGTTCCAGCCTGCTTTCGCCTGGATTGCCAGAAAGAATTTCGAGGACCCAGAGTACCGAAAAACTGGGGGGTTTTCACGTGTCGGGCCCTGGGAGACGATACCCCTTCGACACTGTTCCGGTACTGTTCTGGGTGCTCGAAAGTACTTCGGGGATGTGGTCCTCAAGTATGCTGGGAACAACAGAACCCAAGGGTACCCTTGCACCCTTGCCTCCTCGACCCATCCCTTGGCCACTCTCGTCGACCGCGCCTCGCTCGAAGAGCTTCGAGATGGCCCTCCGAGGCCCTCGCACCCTTACCGCGCATCCTTTTGATCGGGGCCGGCTGTGCTTTGGCCGGATGGCGATGTGCTATACAGTCTTTGCACGACACGTTCGTTTCGGGCGTGCGCCTCCAAGGTTAGGCGCGTACGATCGGACCGATCTATAAGATCGAGGTCGCTTCGGGGAGGGTGCTCTGATGCTCGTCGTGCCTGTGGGACGTTCTTGGGCATCCTGGGGGAGGGTACCCTCGAGTGATGGTTTGGGGTGCTTTGGTCGGCGGACGGTCTCATGTTCTTGAAGGATGTTCTTCTGTCCTAGGTCCGACCGTAGTACCGGTCGTCGAAAGTGGGTATTTTTGGGATCCCCAGATTCCTGTCTATTTCAAACGTCTTCCTACTTCAATCATCGATACGCTTTGCTGTGTTTTGTTATTCTCTGGGAGGGCCTGAACCCAATCTACTTCATCCGCCTTGATACTTACTCTTTTTACTTCCGACCGACGTGTAGTATTGTAATGGCTAATGGCCTTCGGCCAGTGACGCCGATCCGAGGTTCTTTTGATGTGACTCGTTCCCCTTCCCTCCCTTCTCCTCTCCCCTCCCTCACCTCCGCTCTTTCCTCCTCTCTCCCTCCACTCTCCGTTCCCTTCCATTCTCCGTCCTACCCCTCATCTTGCCGTTTCCACACTCACACACACATAAACACCGCCCCATTCACTTTCCACCACCAACCCTCCCTTCGCCTCAACCCCACCACACACATTCACGTACACATACGCAGAAACCTCCGGCATCCCCGTCCCCCACTTCACTTTACTCCACCCCACGCCACGTCATCCCATTGCATTCCTTCCCTCCATGCGTTTCAGGCCACCCGCCCATCCAACTCACCCAACCCACCTACGCACATGCATAGACACATACAGACACACACAGACACACAGACACACGCACACACAGACACACTGTGACACACACAAAGACACACAGACACACGCAGACACACACACACACACTGGCACACAGACCAAAACATAATACACAGACACACACAGACACACATACATATACACACAGACAAACAGACACAAAGACACAACACAAACACACACGCATACACACAGAGACACACACAGACACAGACACACACACAGACACAAAAAGACACAGACATACACACAGACACACACAGTCACACACAGACGCACACAAACACATCCAGACACACACACTGACACACACAGACACATACAGACACACGCACACAGACAGACACACACAGACACATACAGACACACGCAGGCACTCACACACGGAGACACAGACACACAGACACAAATATTCACATTGGCACAGACACACAGACACACAGACACGCAGACACACAGACACATAGACACAAAGACACGCAGACACATGGACACACAGACACAGAGACACACAGACACACAGACACACAGGTACACAGACACAGGCACACAGACACACACAGACACACAGACACACAGACACGCACACAAACACATCTACCCACAGACACAGGCACACGCACAGACACACACACACACACGCAGACACACACAGACACACACAGACACACACACAGAGACATATTCAGACACACACACAGACACACGCACACACAGACACACACGCAGACACACACACAGACACACAGGCACACACACAGACATACACACAGACACGCAGACGCACACACAGACGCATACACAGGGACACATGGAGACACACAGGCAGACATACACAGGCACACACACAGACACACACAGGTACACAGGCCCACAGAGACACAGCCACAAAAGACACACAGGCAAACACAGACAGACACACACAGACACAAACACACACATAATTACAGACACAGGCACAGACCCCCACGCAGACACACAGGTTACATACATACACACAGACGCATGCAGAAACACATACAGACACACACAGACACACAGAAAGACACAGACAGACACACCGACTCACACAGACACACACAGACACTCGCAGAAACACAGACACACACAGACACACATACAGACACACACGCAGACACACACACACACACGTACACACGCAGACACATACAGACGCACGTACAGACACACACAGACACACACAGACAAACACACATACACATTGGCACACACAGACACACACAGACACAAGCACAGGCACACACACACAGACAGCCACACACACAGGCACACACAGACACAGACACACACAGACAAAGACACACACCGACACCCAGGAGGGCACGAGTGCACGCCAGGAAAGCCAGGAGGGCACGAGTGCAGCCAGAAAGCGTAGCGGCGCCTCGCAGGGGGCGTGGAGAGTCGAGGGGAGGATTCTAATGATGACGATGAGGATGCTGATGATGACGTTGCTGATGATGATGCTGATGATGCTGCTGCTGATGCTGCTGCTGATGATGCCGATCTGATTATGATGCTGCTGCTGATGATGATCGGGATGATGGCGATGATGCTGTTGCTGCTTCTGATGATGATTCTCATGATGATGCTGATGGTGGTGATGGTGATAGTGATGATGCTGATGCTGCTGATGATGCAGATTCTGATGCTGATGATGACGATGATGATTATGATGATTATGATGGAGAAGATGATGCTGACGATGGTGCTCATGATGAGAAATGTGATGATGATGCTGGTGTTGATGCTGATGTTGATGTTGATATGTATGGTGATGATGATGCTGATGATGACGATGATAATGATGATGTTGATGATGCTGATGCTGATGGTGATTATGATGCTGTGATGATGATGATGAAACCGCTCGACTCTTGAAGTAGGAAGGCGCCTAAAGTATTTTGAAATCTGGGAATCCATAAGTACAGTGGGGGCGCGCATCAAGAAACCACATGCTGTTCGTCAGGGTACCCTGGGGTTCTTCGCTCCTCGCGCTGCGTGGTGACTTCTCGCAGCCGTTGAAGGAGCTGCTGCGTTCGAGGACCTCCGGGTTTCCCTTCAGGTGCACCTCGCGCACGGGTTCTCAGGGTTGGGTTTCTTGCGAGGGTTTCTTGCGGCCGCGCCCGCACTGTATTTACTTTCAACGAACGGTGGGTATGCGTGTGCCGTTTTTCTTCTTCGAATTCTCGTTGCACCGATCTTGCAGACGTGCTGTAGCGGATTTTCACATGGATTTCTGCTGCCAATGCGAAACCCCGAAACGGCAAGCGACACATAAAGCGGACTTCTCGCGGCATGCTTTGCAATCTTCACTCCTGGGAACCAATCCGCACGAAAATTATACTTCACAATCCGGAACGAAGTTCTCCAAGCCAGTCTGGGTCCATCCCATCGTCTTCCGAACGCAATCCGCTCTGTGATGTTGGCGCCACGAGAACTCGGACCTGGAGGAGGAGGAGGAGGAGGAGGAGGAGCAGGAGGAGGAGGAGGAGGAGGAGGAGGAGGAGGAGGAGGAGGAGGAGGGGGGGAGGAGGAGGAGGAGGAGGGGGGGGAGGAGGAGGAGGAGGAGGAGGAGGAGGAGGAGGAGGAGGAGGAGGAGGAGGAGGAGGAGGAGGAGGAGGAGGGGAGGAGAGGAGCCAGGAGGAGGAGAGCCAGGAGGAGGAGGAGGAGGAGGAGGAGGAGGAGGAGGAGGAGCCTCCAATGCGCCGAGTCGGGCCGTGCTCGGGCCCGCGGGCGCTCCCGCAGCGCCCCCCTCCCTGGGGGGCCCGTGCTTCTTGCCCCGCACCGCCGCGGCAGCAGCTCCAGACCCCGAGGGCAAGCCCCCGCTGGCCGAGGACGGCGTGACGCCTCCGCCCTGATCTGCTCTCTCTCTCTCTCTCTCTCTATATATATATATGATATTAAGACAAAGAGGGGAGGAGGAGCCAAGAGGAGGAGGAGGAGGAGGAGGAGGAGGATGAGAGGAGGAGGAGCAGGAGGAGGAGGAGCGGAGGAGGAGGAGGAGCCAGGAGGAGGAGGAGGAGGAGAGGAGGAGGAGGAGGAGGAGGAGGAGGAGAGGAGGAGGAGGAGGAGGAGGAGGAGGAGGAGGAGGAGTGAAGGAGGAGGAGGAGGAGGAGGAGGAGGAGGAGGAGCATGAGCAGAAGGAGCGTGCAGACCCATCCCGTCACCGTGCCGGGGTTGTGGGTCAGAGGCCTCTTGGATGCATTTTCTGGGCTTCTTGGGATGCCTCTCGGGGACCTCTTCGAGAGCTCACGTGGGCCTTTCTGGGGGGGCTGTCTGGGAGCCTCTGAGAAACTTTCGCGGAACCCTTTTGAGGCCTCTCTGTGGCCTCTTGCGGGCACCTCGGGGGCCTTTGGGGGCTATCTGGGGGTCTCTTGGGGGCTTGCTGACGTTCTCGGGGGTCGTCCTGCAGAGGGTTTGACACGCTTCTTCCTGCCCCCTCGTCTCGGCTCCCTTCTGGGGCTCTCTGTCGGTCCGCCCTGGGGGCCCTTTTGGGCCGTGCTGAGGCTCCGTTGGGCTGCCTTGGGGCCTCCTCTGTGGGGGGGCTCCCTCTATGGGCCGCCTCGGGCCCTCTTTGCGCTCTGTTTTGGAGGCTCCCATGGGTGCGCTCCTGGAGCCGCTCTGGGGAGCCTTCGGGCCGCGCCCGGGAGGAACGCATCTCTGGCCCAGACCTGCCCAGCATACCCATCGGTCGTTGAAGGTATGTATCGTTGGGTTCCCAGATTCCAATCTACGTTAAGCGCCTTCCTACTTCAGTGATCGAGTGGCTTCACCCTTTCCGTCCTCCCAAAGGGGGCGGAAGGAACCCAACCTAGTGTCAACGCCTTCCTACTTCATGTTTGTACCTACTCCTTCCGGCCGATGGGTACTTTTCTTCGGGTGCAACTCCTGGGAGGTCAGATTCTGACACTGCCCTGGTCTAAAATCCGGCGTAGTCGGGCTTGACATCCCGCGGAATCCGGCCTTATCCCGTTTAGTCCCGCTGAATCCGCGGCCTGATCCGGCCTAAGAGCCCCCCACATGGGGCTTCATCCTCCTGAGTCCTTCCGACGGAGACCTCCCAGCAGTTGCCTCCCAACTTTTCGTCCGGGGACCTCTGGGGGCCGCCCCGCGCGCCCAAGCCAGACGTGCTGCCAAACCTCTCTCGAGAGATAGATTCTAGCACGCCTTTGGCCCGTTGGGCCAGAGAATTCTTCTTCGGGGGACGCGGGCGGGTTACGCCCAGAAGTGACGCGGTTGGGCCGCGTCCAGAATTGGCGTTCCCTGGATGCTGCCATCAAGTGTGCACATGAACTCTTGAGGCGTGCCTGGGTACGCTAGCCGCAAAATTAAAGGTAAGGGAATCTGTTGGAGGGACTCTTCGATCAGGGCTGGCGAATGGGGGGATAAGCTTATATGGGAAGCATGGACCGACCCCTCTAATGCCGATGCGTCACCGAACCTGGTTTCTGAATCGGTGGCCTCAAGCTCGAGGACAGCAAGACAAGCGTAAACATGTAACTTTCGGACTTCCGCGCGGATGTCTTGGGTCGGCGCCATGGAAGGGTTGTATGGGGGGTCCATCGCCGACCTGAATCCGCGCGAGCTTGTTTCTATAGTTGTTTGCTCGTCCAAGTGCCACCCTTTCGCCTTTTCCTAACAGGGTCGCGCTGGGAGCGCCTTTCGGAGGTCGCCGCTTTCTGCAAGTTGCGCCGTCCACGGTGGTTTGCGACGTTGGGACCAAGCCCGTTCGGACCTCGGGCCTTACGACGTGCGATTCGTCACGAAAGTTTTGACCACATCTCCGACTTTGCGTTTTTTATTCCGGCATCCTGGGGCCGTTTGCGGCCCCGGGGGCGTGAACAAACCATCGGGGACGAAGCATTGGTCAAGACGTCGGAGGTTGGGGCTCTATCGCTTCGTCCTCTTTCCGAGCCCCACCCTCCAGCCCTTGAAGGTTTCCATACCTGCCATGGAGTTCTGGTCCACCGTGTGCGACGAGGAGCTGGACCTGCTCGACCTCCAAGCATCGGGGCGTCCGCTGCAGAGGCCCTTGCTGAAGGCTCGCTTGGTGGGGAAGAGCGGCGTGGGAGCGGCGCTGCTGCCTCGCCGCTCGCGCTCCCACTCCTGATGCCGATGGCACTTCGATCCTGCTCCTGCTGCTGCTCCCCCTCCGTCTCCTGTTCCCCCCTCCCCCGTCCCGCTCCGACGATCCCCGCTGTCGGAGAGCGGCGAGCGCTCAAGAGATTGAATCGTCCACGCGGGCTCAGAAGCCAAGGCCCACATCACAGCAGGAGCCTGCGGTGTGCAAGCGATTATCGATTTTTTCCGGGGTCTGCGATCTAGATGCCACGCGCCTCGAGAAAGCCATCTTTCACAGGGTCCCATGAGCTCATTGCATCCTTGCCCCCCTGGGCCCATCCCGAGCGACTTCTGCTGGCCAGCCTCGTTCGAAAAACGTCAACATCGCCTTCCAAGGCCGTTGCATCCTCATCGTGCGTCCTTCTTCTACGGGTTCGCTGTACAGGGCCCCATGAGCTCTCCGACCCGTTCTCGCGGCCAGCATGCTCCGTGTCCTCGGGGCCCGCAGCGGCCCTCCCCGCATCCAGAGAGGCCGAGAACAGGGGACGGGCCGTGCATGCCGCTTGTCGAGAACTGGCATTTCCCGGTATCGTTTCACCGATCCCCATATCTCGATTTCCATCCTCAGAGGAGGGAAAGGTACCCATACCTCTCCCCTTCATCGTTTTCCCCTCTTTGGGCCTCCTCGGAGGCCCTCGTCGCCACCGCTGGATTCGCCTCGAAGTTCTGGTCAGAACGCATCCCGCGAGAGGTCCGGGGAGTAGCGGTATCGGTACCTTTGGGTCTCCCCAATCCCGATCCCCACCATCCCACCACCCCAGTGGGGGATATGCCTCTCGAAACTCGAAGGGAGCCCCCACCTCGGGGTAAGTCGGCCAGAGGTGCCCAGGCCAGGCCAGTGGGGACAGGGATGGGCCAGACGATGCTCAAGTTCTGGATTCCCAGACCTGCTTTTATCGCCTCCCAAGTGACAGACGAGAGGGCCCCTTTCCTTCTGCTCGTGCCGAGGCCCGATTTGCTCAGGCCGTCTCCCTGCTTTTTGCTTCTGCCTGCCTCTTCCGAGCGGCCTGTACCACCGTTGACCGCCCACGGTCCTTCCCCCTGACCGCCCACCGCCGCTGCCTCAGCCGGAACCGCAGTCAGACTCCCTGGGAGGCGAATGATCCGCAGGGGGCGGCCACTGTGCCTGGACAGGGCGATCCCGAGCCCAGGGACAGGTGCATGCTGCAGAGGGCCTCCTGGCCCTGGCCAGGAGGGCGTGTGCACCGTGCTCGAGCCCGGGATGCCCTGGCGCTGTGCAGACTGTATACAGTTGGCTGCCCTTCTGCGTGAGGGCCCCGGCCGGGCCAGGGCGGCCCCAGGGCTCTGCACGTGGCGGCCGCCGCAGGTGATCGACCAGGCGGTGGCGTCCCTCGTCCCGATCCTGACCGAGACGCTGTGTCGGCAGGGAAGCGAGGAGGACGACTGCTCGGAAGAGAAGGAGGGGGAGGAGAAGGAGGAGGAGGAGGAGGAGGAGGATGAGGAAGAGGGGGATGATGATGAGGATGATTATGATTCTGATGATGATGCTGATGATGCAGATGATGGTGATGCTTATGATGATGATGATGATGATGATGATGATGATGATGATGATGATGATGGTGATGATGGTGATGATGGTGATGATGATTAAGATGATGATGCTGATCATGATGATGATTATGATGCTGATGCTGATGCTGACGATTATGATTATGATGATGCTGATGCTGATGCTGATGATTATGATGATGATGCTGATGCTGCTGCTGCTGATGATGATGATGATGATTCTGCGATTATGATGATGATGTTGATGATGCTGATGATGCTGATGATGATGCTGATGATGCTGATGATGCTGATGATGCTGATGCTGATGCTGATGCTGCTGATGCTGCTGATGATGATGATGATGATGATGATGCTGATGCTGCTGCTGATGCTGCTGCTGATGATGATGATGGTGGTGATGATGATGATGATGATGATGATGATGATGCTGATGATGATGATGATGATGATGATGATGATGATGATGATGATTATGATGATGATGATGAGATGATGATGATGATGAGATGATGATGATTGATGACGACGACGATGATGATGATGATGATGATGATGATGATGATGATGATGATGATGATGATGATGATGATGATGATGATGATGATGATGATGATGATGATGATGATGATGATGATGATGATGATGATGATGATGATGATGATGATGATGATGATGATGATGATGATGATGATGATGATGATGATGATGATGGTGATGGTGATGGTGATGGTGTGATGGTGATGGTGATGGTGATGGTGATGGTGATGGTGATGGTGATGGTGATGGTGATGGTGATGATGGTGATGATGGTGATGATGATGATGATGATGATGATGCAGATGCTGCTGCTGCTGCTGACGACGACGACGACGAGGAGGAGGAGGAGGAGGAGGAGGAGGAGGAGGAGGAGGAGGTGGGGGACAGCGGCCCCTCGCGGTGGGCGCCCCGGCGGGTGCCCCAGCGGGTAAATCGGCGAGGGTCGGCATTCTTCGTGCGGCCGTGGCAGGAGGAGGAGGAGGAGGACCCAGACCTCTGTTGTGTGGTGAGCGAACCGCGATGGATCGGTGGTTCCAAGACGGGGTCCTGAGGGATCGTGTCCTCAGGCAGGGCGCAGAAACAAAGACCCCTTTCGGCTCAGGATGGGCGTTTTCGAGCACTTCCTGAGACTCGTGTCGGGGTGCCCAGTCGTGACCGAGGCTCGCCGCCGTGGCCCGAAGAGCCCTCTAGCTCCCGATTCGGCGCTCATTGCGGTGGCGCGACTACCGTAGGAAGGGACCCAAGGTTGGATTTGCACTGCTTGAGGCAACTCGGATTAAGTCGGGCCTGTCCCTCTACAGGGGGGATATTCGAAAATAGTAAGAAAACTGCCTGGGGACTATGTTTGAGGATTTTGGGGCATCTTTTGTTTATTTTTTGGGTATTCCTTTTTTCGTCCAACATCCCCCTGTAGGGGGACAGGCCCGACTTAACACTCGGCCTCAGGACCCCATCCCTCAGGTCCTCACCGAGTGGGCGGTCCTGCTCTCCTTCGGCCCCCGGGGCCCCCCTCGCGGCGGGCGCCCGGCGAGGCGCGGGCGGCCTCCGCGAGGATCAGCATCCCTCGTCTTGGCGTCGCTCGGACGTGCGCATTTTTTCCTCGGCGGGGGCCATCGAGGGACATCTTGGATCATCCTGCGAAATAGCACGCACGAAATTGGAGGAACATGCACGGGGAATCCGAGCGATGGCGAGTCGTGCGATCGTAGCAGGAGGAGGACCCAGACCCCTCTTGCGTGGTGAGCGAACCGCGATGGAGGATCGTTTTGGAGCATTCTTGGGCCGTCGGGAGCTGGGCCCGCTTGGGGCTTCTGGGCTGGGCCTTGCTGTGCTGCCTTGTCGCCCTCTTGGGCCACCCTGAGGACCCAGATCGCTTCTGCGTGGTGAGCGAATCGCGATGGAGGGTTGTGTTTCGCTTCGGCCACTGGGGGCCCTCACCCAGCCCCCGGATCGTCGACCAACGACTCAGGATGAGAAGCTGGTGCGCCCCGTGAGTTTCAGTCGCCGAGCGCGTTCCACTACTCGGAAAGTGCCTACTTGCAAACGTCCGAAAAACACCTGTCTGCACTGATGTAATTTATCGTAGATCCCCCGCGGGGGATCCAGGCCATTTGCGAATAGTTGCTTTGCGAGTAGTGGAACGCGCTCGTCTTTTCGTGCCGCCAGCGATGCGATGAAAGGTCGGCCCTGGTGAGCGGGTCGAGACGCCGGGGTTGCTTGCATTTCGGGGTCGGCCAAGACGGGGATGATGGCTGGAGGGGTGGGGATATCATGGCCGCGGCCAGAGGGCGCCCGGGGGGCGAGGCGATGCCCAGGAGGAGGGGGAGGGGGAGGGGGAGGGGGAGGAGGAGGAGGAGGATAAGGAGGAAGAGGAGGAGGAGGAGGAGGAGGAGGAGGAGGAGGAGGGGAGGAGGAGGAGGAAGGAGGAAGGAGGAAGGAGGAAGGAGGAAGGAGGGAGGAGGAGGGGAGGAAGGAGGAAGGAGGAGGAGAAAGGAGGAGGAGGAAGGAGGAAGGAGGAAGGAGGAAGGAGGAAGGAGGAAGGAGGAAGGAGGACGGATGATGAGGAGGAGGAGGAGGAGGAGGAGGAGGAGGCGGAGGCGGAGGCGGAGGCGGCGGCGGAGGAGGAGGAGGAGGAAGGAGGAGGAAGGAGGAGGAGGACGAGGAGGAGGAGGAGGAGGAAGAGGGAGGGGAAGGAAGAGGAGGAGGAGGAGGACTAGTGGAAACCCAAGAGTCATCAACGATGGTGGAATTAACCCTTCCTCCAAGCTCCCTCTTCATAGACCCCTACAGTGCTACATTCCTATTGAGGGAATTTCCTCGTTGGTAGAAAACCGTTTGAATATTTGAAGCATGCCAACATATGGTTCTCGCTGCGTCCCGACGATCTGGAATCGTGCCAGAACGCCGTTCTTGGGACTTCAACACCACGAATCAACAGAACTGTTGGGGAGCCGCGCCCAGCGGCGCCTTTTGAGCTCGAGCTTGCCGCCCGTTCCAATGGATCTTATCAAACCGCCATCAAATGTGGGGGTGGAGGCCTGGGAGCTTGGTGGAAGGAGGAAGGAGGAAGGAGGAAGGAGGGAGGAGGGAGGAGGGAGGAAGGAGGAAGGAGGAGGAGGAAGGAGGAGGAGGAAGGAGGAAGGAGGAAGGAGGAAGGAGGAAGGATGAAGGAGGAAGGAGGACGGAGGAGGAGGAGGAGGAGGCGGAGGCGGAGGCGGAGGCGGCGGCGGAGGAGGAGGAGGAGGAGGAAGGAGGAGGAAGGAGGAGGAGGAGGACGAGGAGGAGGAGGAGGAGGAGAAAGAGGGAGGGGAAGGAAGAGGAGGAGGAGGAGGACTAGTGGAAACCCCAGAGTCATCAACGATGGTGGAATTAACCCTTCCTCCAAGCTCCCTCTTCATAGACCCCTACAGTGCTACATTCCTATTGAGGGAATTTCCTCGTTGGTAGAAAACCGTTTGAATATTTGAAGCATGCCAAAATATGGTTCTCGGGATTTCCACGCCACGGATCAGCCTGACTGCTGCGTCCCGACGATCTGGAATCGTGCCAGAACGCCGTTCTTGGGACTTCAACACCACGAATCAACAGAACTGTTGGGGAGCCGCGCCCAGCTGCGCCTTTTGAGCTCGAGCTTGCCGCCCGTTCCAATGGATCTTATCAAACCGCCATCAAATGTGGGGGTGGAGGCCTGGGAGCTTGGTGGGCGGGGTGTTCGGGGGGAAAGGATGGACGAGGCCCAGCCTTCGGCGCGTTTTGGCCTCTCGGCCCAAAACGTCGCGAGCTGGAGCGAGAAACTGACTAGAAGTCACAAGGGCCCGAGATGGTCTCCTGACTATGTAGTTCTGGAGTAAATGTTGGCTGATTTTCTCTCTTGTTTTATCTCAGCCGTGCATGTGTCATCCTCCTGAGTGAGGGGCGGATTGCTGGTCGCTGCTATGTGTCACAGACAATGGCAGCACTGGGAAACAGAAACAGAGGAGGAGGAGGAGGAGGAGGAAGAAGAAAAAAAGAAGAGCAAGAAGGAGAAGAAGAAGAAAAAGAAGAGGAGGAGGTGGAGGAGGCGGAGGAGGAGGAGGAGGCCAGGATCGCCACCTTGCTGCCACAGATTTCCGTGGATCTCATGACCCCTTGTTAGTCTTTGTCAACGCTCCCTGGCCCCCCCCCCCGGGGCCGCGCACATGCTTCGGGCCATGATCTGCGAACCCCGCTCTTGAACACCCCCCTCTTTGGACACCGCCGAGTACTTGCATTGTTGTGGAAAGGTCACGACGTCGGTGCGGCGCGGACCCCATTTAGCGCGGACCCCATCAGCGTGGACCCCATTCAGGAAGCCTTCAGGGGAGGAGGTTCGAGGCCTCTTGTGGCGCTGAGCCCGCAGAGCGGGAGCCACGGCCGGCTCCCAGGGAGCAGATTGGTACGCAGATCTCGCAGCCAGTGAGCAGGAGGTACAGGAGGAACAAGAGGAGGAGGCGGAGGCGGAGGCGGAGGAGGAGGAGGAGGAGGAGGAGGAGGAGGAAGACGAGCAGGAAGAGGAGGAAGAAGAGGAGGAGGAGGACTACGAGGAGCAGGAGGAGGAGGAGGAGGAGGAGGAGGAGGAGGAGGAGGAGGAAGGGGGAGGAGGAGGAGGAGGTGGAGGAGGAGGAGGAGGAGGAGCAGGAGGAAGGGGGAGGAGGAGGAGGAGGAAGGGGGAGGAGGAGGAAGAGGAGGAGGAGGAGGAGGAGGAGGAGGAGGAGGAGGAGGAGGAGGAGGAGTAGGGGAAGGACGATCAGGAGGATGAGGATAAATGATGAACGAATGCGGTTGGACCGAGGTATAAGATCGAGGTCG